ACATCATTATTGCTATTATTCCATGTCAAAATCCAAATACATTCTATAGGCATTTCTATCTGAAGAGTAATAGCCCTCCACAAGAGTATCCACTTGGAATCTGAGTTTCTTGTATAGCTGCATGGCTGCAGCTCTTGTAGGATCTACATGAAGCGATACCCGATGAACGTTTCTTGTTCTGCATTTCTCGATTGCTACCTTCAGTAATTTTTCTCCGAGGCCTTGTCCCCTGTAGTTCTCTTTAACTGATGTATTCCACAAGAACGACGCATCAGTAAACAAAACGAAAAATGCCAAAACAGAAGGAATATTGTAAGTGAATCTCGTTTTTTGACTTGTGTTGATTCATTCAGGCCAGTGAACAACAAGAGAGACAGGCAGAAAGATCACGATAAAAAGTTCATAACAGCAGAACGAAAGCAATTCTTTTGAAAAATAAACATCACATGAAAGATAGTTCTCTCTTCTATGCAATGATGGACAATGCTTCACTGACTTATCGGGGATATATACTAATAAAAAATCAATTCACGTTCTGCCTTTCCCTATGGCGATACAATATGATGACGATCAGAGAAAGATATAACTAAACTCTCCTGCAAAATTCCTTAAAAACAATTGCTAGCTATTTCAAGGTTCAATGTTTCCTCAATAGTAACATATCAGCTTGCTCGGAGGGGAAAACTACGTAACAGCTCTCTAATTTAGAAATGCTGCACTTTCATCCAATCCAAGCTACAGAGAAAAACGTTGAAACAACAGAAGCAATTTTTCCGACCTCTCTATTCATAGAGAACAAAACTTGTTCAGCAAACGAATTCATACATAAAAGCCAACTTTTTTGTAGTCACATTCACACTCCTGATTGTTCTTTTCTCATACGAAAAAACATTAACAAAGAGTCACATTAGAGTTCCGCATGATCATAACTTCTATCATAAATCACATTGGTCCTATCCAATCCGATAAATTCTACCTCATCACGCAAAAGTTCATCATCCCGACCTAACTGTAAGTCACATTGATCCGAACTTCATAGACCAGTATCAACTACAATTCCAAGCACAATAATGCTTCTCGCAACAAAGTATCCGAAAACTTTCTCCCACCACAAACATTGACATGCTTAGCAATAGTTACACATACTAGAAAACTCCACTAGCTATAATGTTGTTTCCATTTAGCCAGTTATTAAACTTATAAGCTCTTTTATATATGACCTGACCTCTACCTCGTCATTTTCAATAGACCCTCGATTCAAAATAAGTTAGAGCGACTGTTTCCAATACACCCTCAGACTCAAAAATAAGTTAAAGAGCGACTGTTTTCAATACACCCTCGACTCAAAAATAATTTAACGGGCTACTGTTTCCAATAGACACTTGGCTCAAGATAAGTTTTTTACAAGTAATCTAACAACAATTTCACTGCAAATTTCAATAAAAACACTTAAATAGCAGAGAATCAAATCCTAATTGGCAATTGCAGCGAAAAATCGAACCAAACCCTAAAATTAAACAAAATGAAAAGGGTTTTTATTGTTCAGACCTGCTAATTTAGTGATACAAGCAGAGAGTGAAGAAGGCCAAGAATACATAACATAACCAGCAATTTCTTCACCAAATTGAGTGTAGAGTAACCCAGAATTCTTCTTTTTCAGTTCTTCATCAAAAGATCGAGCTAAAGATTCATGTTTGGGGAAAATTTTCTTCTCTATTCTCACTATATCGTCAACCACCTTAACCCAATTTGCTGAATTTCTCTGCAATTCAACTATCTCTGCCATTTCTGCGATTTCATATTTCTCTGTTTTTGCTGCTGTATTTTAGGTTAACAAGAATCTATTAGGGTCATTATTGGAAAGAAAATTAGTTCCTCTTGTTATTTTAAAAGTTTTTACTTTATTTATTTTTTTTACTATAAAGTTTTTATATATTTGTAACATTTTAATTATTTCTAGAAACTATTTATGTACATTGTTTTTATTTTACATGGTTTATTAATATATATAAATTTGTATTCATGTATTAATTAACTTATCAGTCTGAATGGTGTTTCTTTTGTTAGTAATCCAAGGGATTGATTTACTTTTGGACATGTTATGTTTTATTTTTTAAGTTCTCCTTAAGGTTAGTAAGGTCGTTTCGATATTATTTTCTTCCTACTTCAATCAAAAATAAATTTTACTTTTTCTAATAGGATAACGCAATTCAATTTAGATACGTTGTTCAAGCCTCCAAAAATAAGACAACATATTTTTATTGATAAGCTTAAGTAAGTGTTTCTGATTGAGAACACTTGAATTAAAATATATTTGACAATTGAAGTAAGCCTGTATATGACAATCTGTTTATATTCACTTAATTTAAAGTAAAACTTATCCATACATACTATCCGACCAAATTATTTTTATCAATATAATCGAAATATATAAAATATGTTTGGTTTTTTTTTCTTAAGATGGGTTGTAGCTAGGTGGAATTTTCTTGGGTTTGTTCAAATAAGTCTGCCTTTTGAAGAATAGGCTTATCTTGCTGCATCTTTATTTTTTTATTTTTACAATAATGATGTTCAGAATAACTTCTACGTCTTAGATTAATTAATTATATGAGATGTTTGTCAATTTTATATTCGTCCAAACTAAAATACTTAAAAATAATATTTGAATTCGTCAAACTTCAATAATGAATCAAAAGTGGTAGAAGATTTTTTGGGGCCATTATGCAATGATAGTGGGACATGACATTATTTTTGTGATTGGTAAAAAGAGCATGGAATGGTGAAACACTAGTTTTGGTAAGAAGAATATGATGCTTTATGACATTATCAAGGGAACAAAAGTCATTTTTTTTTATATATATTTGAAGAAAAGAAAGTTGCACATTACAATAATTGGTATACCTATAATGTGTGGTTCAAAATGATCTTAACGAGGCATATACTATATTGATGCTTTAGTTAATCATATTGAAAAATTAAAGTTCAATGTTATTTAGTTTTGATTATAACTTGAAATGTATTGTATTGATAAATTCGTTGTTATGTAATAATGAAAATTCTCATTTTATGGAACAACTGATTTGGTGTGTTTCCGTTGTTATTGAATTTCTTTTGCTGATTATATTCTTATCTATATTTTATAATACTATTTTACCCTTTACTCTCTATTAATTAATAAATTACAATACAGTACGATACAGTTAAATTAAACAATTAAAATATTATTAAACAGTATCAAATAATACAATTTAATCAAATATTGTATCTATCATACAATACAATACATTATGAAACAATAAGTAACAATGATTAAAATAGAGCGTAAACCTATTACCCATATAAGATTTAGTGCTAATTACAATCATTTTTATGTAGTGTAAGTGATGTTGGATTAGGTGGATATCAACTCATCAAAGTGGACAACAAATGTTTTAAAATGCTTTCACTAGTGTTACACTAACTTTAGTAAGTGGAAATCTTTAGACAATTGTTGAAGATATCTATTTTTTACCAAATAAAACATAAGTTATCATTCATACAATCAGATATTTACCTTTCAAGTTTACTTGGACGTTTAATCATGTTTCATTGTAGAAATTAAATTATGTTTTTTTAATTTGTTTTTTCAAATAAAAAAAGATAAATTAAAATTGCATATTGTCATCAACTTGTATACCACTAGTTCGAAAGGCATAATTTCTTATATTGATATTTAAATTTGGCCTCCGCTTACAAGTAAATATTTCAATTCTATCATTATATATGTATATATAGATACCTTAACTCGATTCACACTATTCCTGCTAAACTCTTCAACATATATTCAAATTAATCATCTGAACACCTTTAAAATTCATTCATTATATTAAACATCGAATGTAATGAGATATAATGAAGACGAGTTTGAGTGTTTAAAACCAAGTTAAGGTGTTCATACCTATACAACAATTATCATAGGTGACATGCTTTCAAATAATTTTAAAGTATTAAAAATAGATGCTTTATTATTAAAATAAGATGTTTCTCACCATAAGCAATTCTCAAATCTCCACAGACGGCAGCCATCATGTCAATCACCACCCACCAGCAATTGCTGTTGTTAACCTAGCCAAACAGATAATGACAAGTTGGCATATGAGATAGAGGTGGCATAGCCGCAGTGGTGAAACTGTTCAATCTTTAATTAAAAATTTCAAATCTGAGTTTTTCGTATGAAGAAAATTCTATTGAGAACGTCACTCTCAAATGAGCTTTGTATCATGCTATCCGGATTTAATTGAGATTCCAATGCATATTTCGAACAGTGAGTGTGAGAAAAAAAGAGAGGTGGCTTATGCCTATTTCTCTTTGAGATGTTGATGCCTTGATTTTGAATGTCTTGTTTTTCAATCCTTTTGCTTTTATCTTTGAATATTCATTACTTTCTCTAGACGTGAAAACTGTTCTTTCCGTTTCAATTTGAATATTTAGATTATAATTATTTTTTTTATATTTTATGTATTTTTAATCATATATTTTAAAAGTTTATTTTACTTTTTTACTTACTTTTTATTAAGTCAGAATCAAATAAATAAATTAAAACGCAAATAAATAAATTAAAACGAAAAGAGTGATGGCTGAGATGTGCTGTCAAATGGTATTGGTCTCTTAAGTGGGATTTTGTCTTCTTAATAGAACCTTCCATATCTCTAGAGAGGAAAGTTTAGACATTATTTTCGATATTGTAAAATTGATTATCTAAATTTTTACTTTATTAAATCATATATCGCAAATCAAAACCTTAGTTAAGTGATCAGAATTACTTTTAATTTTTTTAATTATTATTGTTGTACTTGTACATTGAGTCCTGTTTTCCTTAAATTTTCCTAAAAATTTTAAAAAAATCATAGTCCTTCTTAGTCCCTTTGCGATTAGATTCGAGTCATCCTTACAATTTCGATTGAGTCTATCTCAAAATTCATAATGTTATCTATATAAATTACAGGTGATCACATGTTACATTGATCAAAAACGTATATTCATATAATATATCGCGTTACTAAATATAATTACATTGTGTAAACACGCGAAGAAGATGATCAAAACAAGAGAAGACATGTTACTAAACAACAACATAGGAAAAAACAGATTCTGCTAAGTGATTGATCCGTTTGTAATAGTTGTCTTCTTAACCTTGGACTGTATGAACTCGAATATGTATACGAATCAGTATTCAATGAGTTCCCAAACATTCGTGCATAAACAATTTCCCCTGTTGTCGTGCCACCAGGACTTAGCATATGTTCTAAAGTTATATGATTTCGATGATCATCATGAGATAAAGGAGAAATATTATTATTATCTATTAGTCCGTGACTCGTACATCTCGGACTAGGAGGTCTTTGTGGTATGACTAGACCAAGACTCATGGCCTTGGTTGATGTTTTTGTAGCTTGACCGCGGCCATAGAGTGGAATCAATGTTTTTTGTGAGACTTCAGCTTTGCAAACAGGGCATTTTGGCTGTTTGTTATCGATGTTTTCAGATGATAAGGCGTTATAATGTATCCATTTGTAGATACAAGGCCAACAATAGAGGTGACCACATAATGTAACAACAGGATCATGCACAAGATCTAGACAAATGTTGCACTCGAAACCTTGAGGTGAATTTTCTTCAAGTTTATCGAGATTGCTTGTCTTCCATTTTTCAAAAGAATTATCGCGTTGATCAAATTCCACTATTTGGTCTTGAAAAATTTGTTCTAAGGCCATATTTGCCTCTCTTTGTATTGATTTATTTTGGTGATTGGCAAGATGAAGAAATAGTTAGAATACAATTAGAAGTGAGAATTTATAAGGACAAGAATAGTAGTTTGCAAAAAAAAATGATACTTAAGGTTGTCACTTGTCAACATCATGGCCAAAAAGAAAAGGCCCTACACATTATTAACTAACACTATATCATATTTACTAGTTTTATCTTAATTTACGTGATACTGTTTGATTTGATATAATATTTCACAAAAAAATGAAATTGTTTGAAGTATGTGGTGTACAACAAATCTTTAACCATTTGTATGGTTATAAATCACGTCATTAAGAATAATAGATGAATTTAAAGTTTTTTCAATCATCGAAATATGATATTCTTTTCGAACTGAAATAAATGTGTTATATAAATTAAGACAGATAAACTAATTCATCATAATTAAGTGATTTGATGAAGTCGAAATATATATATTAATGGATCATGGTTAAGTGAGAGGAGTTTTATACAAACACATTTTTTATCCATCTATTTGATTTATTAAGTTTATCATATTAGATATATAATTAAGACATAATAACAAACTAGCCCCATTATAGGAATCTTAATCTAGAAAATAACTTTTAGTCAATAAAAAGTAGCACTAGTTGCGTACAAGGAGCTACCACTTGATGACCTTAATCTAGAAAATAACTTCTATAGTTTCATACTATAAAGAAAATAGACGTTTTTTTCATCGTGAATCAATGAAAAATTAATATTATAAGATATAATTTTTTAAATTTCAATTTTATTGAACCATCACGGAGAAAATATATAATAAAAATAATTTTTATTGAAATATTGAAAATGGCAACTTACAAGGTTTTAGGATATTATGTGTAAAAATTTATAATAACGCGATTTTGTTATTAAAATACCTTTTTAAAAAAAGAAAGCTACATATCTTTATCAATTTGATTAAAATTATAGAACTCATAATAATACAATATATATGTATAAGTACACGTAAATTAAATTATTATTATTATTATATATTAATTTAAAATTATTATAGAAGCTTCTAAACTCTAAATTTAGATCCAACTAATGAGTGAATAGACATAGTGGAGGATAATAGAATACTTATACACATGGACGGTGTGATTAAAAAAATAAAAGAAATTATTTGAATTGACACAATATTTAACAGAAAAAAACATATAAAATTTATAATTGAAAATATTTGTAATTGTAAAGTATTTTATTAATTAAAAATAAAAAAATTAATTATAATAAAATAATATATTTTTTAAAAAAAATTAATAAATAAAATATCACATAAAATAAATAAAAAGTACAAATTGATTATAAAGAACGAGTCAGCACATGTATTATATAATTAAAATACTTAAAATACTACATGTGTCTCGATAATAGCACCCTTTTGTCAACTTATTATTTTTCTGTTTACTTGGAAGCAATTCTATCCTATCCTATTCAATCACATATTATTATGCTAAAGATAATATATTATATCAAAGTAATATAATCATTAATTTGATTATGCTAAAGATATATAATAAAGTAAATTTGAATAATTATAAATAAGATAGCATAAAAAATCCATTAAATTATACATAGTATGTTAATTGGTGGAAAAATTAGAATTTAATTTGAATTTGAATTTTTTCAATAAGTAAACACATAGAGTAATCGAAAGGTGAATTTAACATTTATCATATATATCCACATTAATAGTAGGTCTGATTTCAGAATTGAATAGGTCGATGAATAAGAAGATTTGTCCATCAATAATGAAAATTACATTAGTAGGAATATAAGTCGAAACATTCCGAATTGAATTTCTACTGTTGGCAAGGTGATCCTACTTCCTTCATCTAAACTAGAACTTATTTAGTGGCTCTTCCCAAAAGGCGTGATGCAAATAAAAAACATCTTCTAGATAAGCTTCACAATCGTGCGGTCTTCGTAATAGAAGAGATATTTGACGATAAGCTTGCCCTTGTTTGGAGAAATCATCGTAAATGTTTGGATTGATTTTTTGAATTCTTGGTTTGGTTTTTGGAATCAGAATTTACTTTGTTTCGTTTTTTGGTTTGGTTTCAAATTTAGAAAAATGAAAATCGAAAAAACCAAATTACATATATATATATATACCACTTTTGTCCCTTTATAGTTACTTTCATTATGATTTAGTTTATTATATTATGTTTGGACATCTATAATTGTTTTAAGTATTGTGTTTTACGTTTTACTTGTGATTTATATTAAAAAAATATTATTAAGAAATAAATTTATATATATATATATATATATATATATATATAATATTTTTTTGAAATCGCCAATATAACTTTGTTATGTTTCTAATTATTGACATGAATTAACCATACTGAAAAAACCAAACCAGTCTAAATTTATTTTGGTTTGAATTGAGTTATACTTCTTCAAAATCAAAAACCAAAAATCCATACCGAATAATATAAAGCTGAATCGAAAAACCGAATGCACACCTCTAATCACGTGACATTTTAGGAATTAAAATTCAATTTTTAGAATTTTTTTTTAAAAATTCAATAAATATAAATCTAATTACGAAAAAAATATTTATTGTACGAAGAAAATCTTAAGATCAATGATATTCATACACTATTTTGACAAGGAAACACAAAATATGTTGCTACATAATTATCAAATACTTCTTGTGGCCGCGTCCATTTTTATTTATTCATTTGATTTGACATATCTTTTTAAGAAGAACCCCCTTTATTCGTTTATACTTCTTTTTACTGCTAAAAATAAATATCCACTTTAACTCGTTCATTTTGATAAAATAAAATAATATTTTATTGCTTGATTCTTAAAAACATATAAATTTTGAGTAGGCTAATTTACAAACCATCTTTTAGAGGTCATCATCATATTCATCATCATCTATCATCTTCATCATCATCGCGATCATCGTCATTTGATTCCTCACTATTGAAACAAAAGATGAAAAATGAAATGTTATGCAAGTATAGCAAGTTACACAATATTGGAAGGATTTAAATCATATACAATGACAACGTAAGATCTTTTACACTATAGGTGTCATTTAACTTATTAAAGCAAATTATAATTATTTTATTACTAGCTCTGGACACGTGCTTTGCATATGTATATGACATGTTTAATCACTATTGTAATAAGGTGTACATCAGTTCATTCAAAGAGAAAAGTTGTATGTACCATTTTCCTCATTGTACTTTGTACATGGATGTTGTCCATCAGAAAATTACTTTATAACTAGTGAACTATTAGGTGAGCGAGATTCTACCTGAAGTATTACCAACTATTTATCAAAACACATATCAACTATGAGTTGTTCCTTTTTTCTAGTGGTGACATATGACAGATTTGGACGGACTGAAAATGGATTGGATTTGTATGGATAAAAAATAGATTGAGCAACATGGTCGTTACTCACTTTAATCTCTTAAAACCAGAAAAAGTGTCAAAGGGTTAACTCAAATCAACTTAATGATTATCAAAAGGTTTTTCCTACCTGAAGTATCACCATCGTTTAGGTAAGAAAAAGGAAGTAAATCGAAAGGTTTTTCTCTAGAATACGGAGAGTCTTGTGCATAAACAAAGAAGAATCTCTCAGTATAACAGTGAATGGGTATTTTTTTAAGATTTGCTTCATTGGTGTATGAAAGTTTAAAACAATGATCCTGTGGAATAAGCACAGTGAATTCCTTAATATTCGAGTAGAAACAGCAAGAGAATATCACACTGCTGATTCGCACACCTATCGTGACATTAGTAGTCTCTTCAATATTACACCTTTCTACTGGTGGCCTAGTTTTTCTTGTAACGTTGCTGGTGCCACCGGATTTAGCCTTCAGTCTTACTTCGCGAGGTAGATTTAGGACTCCCAAGAAAGGAAACACAAGTTACTGAAGCCTGTTCTGGCCTATACAGTATGTATGTACATTTATTTCAGAGAACTGGCTAGTCCTCAAAACACCTTAACTACTTGCTGCAGAGGAAAAAAAGGCGCAAAAAATGGAAAATGATATGATAGATGTCCCATAGTTAAGGAACACGAGAACATTATAGCAAGAATGAGCATGCAGGTATAAGAACTTACACATTATTGCGGCAAGAAGGAACTTCATTCTCAAAGTCATCATCATCATGATCTTCATCTGTTGTCAAACTATCGAAAATGCCAGCAAAAATGAAATGTTACACTTACCGAAATCAAGAATGAGCATGTAAATATTAGAAGTTACGCAATATTGGAAGGTTTCAAAGCAAACACAATGACAGCCTAAGGAACTTTTGTTCAATTGGTGCAATTGACTTACTAAAGCTATTATTCAGATTACTGTATCGAGTTTACTATGATGATAAGTTAAATGTTATTGTAAATCCAGAAAGAAGACGTCTTACAAAAAGATTTGCTAGTATGGACCTCGATAGAGCTTCCATAATTGTCTTGAATGTCCTGTTGAATTTGCTTTGCGGAATTCCCAACAGATTGTTGACAGTTACATATATCAATAAGAGCAAGAGTGGTTATATCTGCAAAATCTCGAGAGATTGAATCCAAATAACAGCAATCTCTAAGAAAAAGTCGTTCAAGGTACGGAAAGTGATCACTACTAGCTCTCCAGTACCGAATGTATATGTCATCCAGAAACAAGAACTTCAAGCGAGGAAACCCTTCCTCAACTACTTCCCACTCCTCGCCTGTGAAGGCATTGTCTGATAGTTTAAGGACCTCGAGTTTGGGTAATTTACCGACAATGCTCAACTCCTTCCATGCCAAAAAGAAATCTCCTCTAAAAGTTAAACTCTTGAGGTTTTGTGGAAAAGCATCCGGAGGAGGTAAGAATAAAGTTGGAACATCAGCTGGAGGTGCAGTTACCCCGAAATATATCTCTTTGTGCAATGTTTCCGTCTGAAAACTTAGAGGATTTTGCGGAGTAGAACCTGAAGGTCCAGTGCTTTCTACAAAGCAAGCAGCAAATGGATAATAAATACCAAATGCCAATTTCTCGAGCTGATGTAAGTAGAGAAAATC